GGAAATAAATATGTGGAGGAGTTTATCTTAATTTACCAAAAAATACTTTTTTTAAAGTACTTTTGCTTAATACCAAACACCCTAAGTGTGTTCGAGTGGGTAATTAACCTTGGTGAAACACAGGTTAAGTTGACCTTGATACTTGTGTGTAATGTGAACTTGAATTGCAGTAGCATATGGGTTATAATAGAGCCGTTAAGACGGCCGCCAAACACCCACCGGTTGGATCCCAGGAAAAGCAAGTCCCTCGGCCAGCGAACACAGGACGCATTTTCACCATCAAGGTCAAAAAAGCACAGGCATTTGTCGCTCCAAATAAGAATAAAAGCCGTCCTCTTCTTCTTCAAATGCCTCACTCCCAGCAAATCATCTGTGTACACGTGTGCGAGCTTTTAATTAAACGACAAATATGTGAATGTTTGGGAAGAGAAGTGAACGAGAAAGTGGTTTGAATTAGAGCTTGAAGGTGGGGCCCAGCGGAGTGCCCTTACGTGCTGCCCAAACGACGCCTCTCCTCTTCCTTTTGCCTGCTTTCCAATTCTTGTCGCCACCTCCCATCCATTTTATTTCATATCTACGAATTTTTTTTGGGGAAAATTTCGTTAAAATTACTTATTGATCAAAGATACCTGATCCAACTTTTCTTAAACCGGAGTAACTATTATTAGTAATGTTTAATATATCTTTAAATGTTTTCAAAATAAAAATTATTTGCACAACTGTGCCTGCTTAAATTCTTATCCTTTAGCTAATAAAACTTTTGAGGAGGTGTTTTAAACCAAATTTTCCTATTTGTTCATATATTTATATGCAATTTCATATATTTGATGCTTTGCTTCACTGTATTGCACACCAAATTCAAGTTTTAGTGGTTAAAAAGAAAAACATATAAATCTATACATATATTGAGGCGTGTTGGATTTTACGACAACATACAGCAGTAAACAATGAGATGATAATTGGAACTAGTTTCAATACTCATAACTTTGATGAACACTCTTAGCTCATCAGATTTGGACTTTCTGTATCTGATTTAAACAATCCAAATTAAAAATATTTAATAAAGTAACTTTAAATAGAAAAAAACTATTTTCTAAAAAAAATGATAGTTAAAAGATTATTTTTATTTGAGATTTTATACATGTTAAAATAATTATTTTGAACAAATAAAAATAAAAAACTAAATGCGGACCATCTAAATAAAATACAGATGGTCAAAATCTGATGACTTTAGGATGCTCATCAAAGTGATAAGTATCCAAACTCTCTGCGATCATAATATGAGATAATTTAATCTGGTCCAGCTTGGAGATCAGCAAATTAATAATTTCGTGATTTGTGATGCATTTGATTGGGCAATTTGTGAGTTTAACTATTTGAATCAATATAAATAATAGGAGAAGTCGTTTCTCTTCCCCCTGGTGTCTTCTATCTTTTCAATCAGGAATGACCCCTTTTTATTTCTTTTTCCGATCGTCATTTTCGTCCTTTCCAATTAAAGATGAATCGATTTTTCCGATCCCTTATTTGTTGAGAGTTATCAAATCTTATCCAAACAGATGCTCCATTCACCGTATTCCCCCTCTCTTCTTAGTGTATGAAGTGGTTGGAATGTTAGTTTTGATCACACACACATATACATATACATATACTTATTTATTTAAACTGATTTATATGACTTATAAATTAGTAATATATCTAGAATATTTTAAAGATATCATGTCACACTTGTTATAGTTATTAACTAAATTATCTAATTTCTTTTAATATATTCAAATCAATTAAATGATTCGTATACTAAGAATTTTAACATTTTCAAGGTCTTGATGATCATTATGAGAAAATTAATGTTACGGGCACGATCCATTTCCTTACACGGCCATGCGATTACTATGTTGTGGTTGACTCTAAGAATATCGTACTTTGGTGTCACTGTTCAGAAATATTATTGGCTCATCACTACACTGTGCCTTGCCCATTTTTTTTCCGCCTTAACAAAATAACATAAAATATTGGATTTTATGTTACAGCCATATAATTATATTATAAGTATAATTATTATAACTATTATACTTTTATATATTAAAGCCGTCAGTTTGAGACTCTGAGCGGTCCATGTGAGATTTCAGACTGTGCCCTCCTTTGGCTTCCTGTGCTGGATTATAATATCTCTTTAATTAATTTGATTAGATTAAAAAAGTTAGATAAGTTAATTAATTATAATAAATATAACATATTTTTTCTAAAACACCATAATCATCTTTCTTAATATCTTTTCTCTCTATTCTACTTGATTATGATTGAGGGAGATCCATAGGGGTTAATTTAGAAAAAATTGATAAATATAAGAAATAGGTTTTATATTTAGAACCAAAATTAACTTAACAATTAGGTCATATATTAAAGATCGGAAGAGTATCTATTATAATTTTACAAACATGTTTCATTAAATAGCAGAATAAATTTTCCCAGGTTATTGAAGCCAAATGTGTTTCTTCTTCCATGAGCTGATGGTTGCATGCATCTGTCTTATATCTTTTCAAGATTTATCACCAACTCTATTATTAACTATAAAAGTCAGACAAATAATTTATTCGATTCTAAATAAAAAATTTCAATTTAGTCATTTTTTAAAAAAAATTATAATTTTTTTAAAATATTTTTATTGAGGGTTTCTAATAAGAAGAGATTATTACAAATAATTAATTTAATTAATTTTTTTAATATTGATGCATTTGTTATTTAACTTTTATAACAAGAGTAAGAGAAAATATATATTTTTTATTTTGATTTTTTGAAAAAGGGAAGGGAGAAAAGACAATGCACAAGTGGAGATGGGGAGCTATGGGAGGAGTGCAAAGTAGTTGCCGGATTTAAATATTTAATCATGTAGTAGTAGTAGTAGTAATAAAATAGGGGAAAATATCCTATTGTGTTATCTGCTGCTGCACTCACAGGAAGAGTCCCATTATACAAAAATTATTGAAAATTAAAAAAAAGAAGAATGGGACCATTCTTTTTCATGGTGGAAGCAGAATGAGCATTGGGAGGATATGTCTTCTTGTGCGGTCTTGTGGGTCTTCACACAAAGCACCCATTGCTTTTCTCGTCTCTCTGTTTCCTCCCTTTCCTTTTCTTTTTCTGCTCCTTTTGGATGGAGAAGTTAACTAGAAGAGAAAAATTAGAAATAAATAAAATTAAAGAGTTAGTATTATCACAATGTCACTCATTGTGTTTGGATGGAGCAGAGAAAGCAAAAGATTATTTTAAAAACCAACTAATCTGATGAAAATATATTTTTATATTTTCTCATCCAGAAATGAAAACAGATCATTTGTAAGAAGAGGAATTGTGATGTAGAGAAGGGTGATGGGGATACGCTTGTACTTGGATGAATTACTGCCGTATGGTTGGTTGGTGGATATATTGAACAGGGGACCCCTGGTATGAACATGATCAGTGAAATTCCAACGTGAAAGAGGGGTCAAGTGGAGGGGCAAGGGGGAGGAATAATCATTTTCTTTTCAAAATCTATCCATCCATGTCTGAAGTTAAAAGCTGGGAAAAAAATGGAACTCATTATATTTTTCTGATCTTCTCCCCGCTTTCCCTTTTTTGAGTATTCTCTTCTTGTTCAGACAGTGTCTTCTCTTTGAGTGCCGCTTTTATCTTTTCGTTCCATCCAAACACGGTTCTTCCTTTTTCCGTCACTTATTCTCTCACTATTCACACCCCCTCACTACAGCGAGAATCGGCTTCCAAATTATGTCACTTGCAAAATAAAACCTCAAATTCGACAAAAGAAGTGGTTCAAGTGTAGGACATGTTTTTATCTGACTTTCCCCACCCCCCCCCCTCTTTCTCTCTGGTTTCCCATAATGTTTCATCATCCTTTTCTCTCTCTACCCCTCTCTCTGTAATCTTATCTGCTTTTATTTTTTTGTCACCCACCCTTTATGGTGCTGTTTACTAAAAAAAGACCCAACGACACACACAAAACCCTCTTGTTCTTGCTGATACTGATACTCTTCTCTTCACTCAAGGAGGCAACCTGCGTTTTTTTATCGTACAGTACTATACTACGTAAGTACTCTCTTTTCGCCCATCTCATCACCTAAAGATTTTGCCTTTGATTCACTCTTTCCTCTATTTCTTCCATGCATTTTAAGGCTTCCTCCTGCTTCTTCACTCCACTTTACTCCGTCTTAAGATTTTCTGTCTTCTGAGTTCAGGGGTTTCACTCTTCTTTTCCAAGTGAAGACTTCTTCCTTGATTTTGAGGATTTTTGTGATGCTTTGATGGATGATTTTGAAAACTCCAACTACTAACAAGATGAATTCTGGCAGTGACCTGTGTGGTTGAGGATCAAAGTTTAGATCTAACTAGTTAATACAAAGCGGAATTCTCTAATTTCCTCCTCGTTTCTCTTTTAATATCAGTTGCTCATCTTTCTTAGTGTTCTCTAACTTCTTTCTGCTCTATAACTGGTCAAAACCAAACTTAAATAGAGATTTTTATGTTCTTTCCTTCAAGTGTAGGCAGGTTTCTGATTAGTTGTTTGATTTTATGTTAGTGAGTCATAGGAAATGTGCTTAAGAACGCAAGTATCTCAAATGAACGGGTAATATGATGCAAGAATCATTTAATTAAATGGTTATGCTAGCATGGAGGATATAAGTTTCTCCTTACTCCCTCTGAGGGTCATGAAATTTGGAAAATTTCCCCCAATTTTTTCTTTTGAATCCCAGAGTGCCTCATCAAAATTTCACTCCTGGAGCGTTTTCATCTCGCTGCAGTTAAATTTATAACTTCATTTGGCGGCAAAGATGGTTTTTTTTTTCCTTCCCGCAAGAAAGTTTTAGCTCTTGAAAAAGCCAGAAAAGGCTTGTTCTTGAATATTAAATTAACTCTTTTGTGAAAGTTTTGCAATAACAGAAGGGATATTGTAGAGGAGAACAAAGGGAAACTCAGATTCAGAAAGGTAGCCTTTCTATTGTTGATGTTGCCATGGTTTACTTCTGAAAACCTATCCTATTAGCTTTAAGAATTGAATAGAAAAGCTTGAAGCCAGAAAAAAACATCGTTGGGTTTGCGTGAGCTTATCAGCTCGGAAAAAAAAAAATTGTGAGATAAACAGATATCTTGGTTAACACAGTTTGATATGAAATTGGTCATCCTCGTTTCTTCTATATTGGGAAAAAAAACATTATAAGGAGGGGGAAAAAAATACTTGTCTAGAATTTCAGGGTACAGGGATCCATTGGTATCTCTTGCTAACAAAGTTATATCTCCCTAGGAAAGACCATATGATTTAATTCAATTGATGATACAATGATTTACACTAGCTTACTTGGAAGACAAAAGTTAGCTACCGCATTGTTTTCCTTGTGCATGCTGCACTTTGCATTCATCAAAGTTGCTTAACTATCCGGGGGACATCAGATGTCTCTTGGAGTGAGCATCAGTTGGTGGATTTGAATCTATGATCCATAAACACTAAAATAAACTTGAGCATGGACTTTCAGGCACAGAAAATCTCTAAAGTTCAGGCATTCTATTGAAGTATCCCGATTTAACTGGAGTGCCTGACACATGATGTGACTCTTTGTTTGATGTGTATGTACTTCATATATTTTCTTTTATGGCTGCAACTGAATACATGTGTTCTTCTCTTGCTCTAACATCAATATCACCTTTTAGCTTAAATTTCTCTGGCATAAAAATAATTATTGGTATTCTGGCATGGGCAGCAATAGTGAAAGCCTCATCTTTGATAGTGTTTGTCATGCAGCATGCTGAATAGCCAGTTATCTGTGCAAGTTTTGCTTTCATAATGCTGGCTCAGTATGGTGCAGATATTTTCGGCTGACATCCATGTTTTGTCCTGACTTGGCACTTACTTTAAGGACGTATTTTTGACTTGCAAATCAGGAACATTATATCAGTAAACAGAACTTATCTGCTTATAAGATAATTTGTTACGGAAATAATTTATTTATATTCAAGATCATGCCTAGAGCCATAAAAAAACGGTGTTGCTAACTTTAAATAGGCCCTATAGGCATAGCAAGAGTCATAAAACGTGCATGGATGCTTATCGTATAATGCATTACAAATGGAACTTGCAAGAAATCGTATACTTCTTTGGTTTGTAATTTTGAATGTGATCGGAGATGAAAGATAGACTTACTGTTTCATAGACTTGATACTTAACCATGTATGAATACTGCAAATGGAGGAAGGTAGAAGCTTGGGGTTCTAGAAATGAGCTGCTTTCTGCGGAGGGTACTGCTCTTATTTTACTGGGTCCATGAAAACATGGGTATTGGAACTTAAGACTTCGTGTAAATCAGGTTATCTCTTAAGTTGGTGTAGGAGTAGCTAACCATACTTCTATTTCAGTATTGCTATATGGGTTTAATCTTTTATTAGATCTTCTACTTCAAAATAACTCTGTTTTGTAGCTTATTGAAATACCGCATTGAATTGGACGCTTGTTAAATAGGTCTGAAAGTTGCATTCATGATTTGTATGATAAAAAAGCTTAGAATCTACAGTATAATGGAGAAATATCAGAAAGAAAATCCTTCAGAAAAGTACTTGAAAGATGTAACAAACACACGTATAAGTGCTATTGGTCCTTGGAATTCACTCACATTTCCCTGTAGTAAAACTAAATCTAGTGGCTTTTGGCCCTTTTTTATTTTATTGACAAGAGTTTGATGAGGTAAATATTTAGATATAAACGAACTTTGGGTTTGCAACATAACTTAGTTTGTATTCTGCTTGGGAGCACATTCAATAAATATTCATTTTAAGTGCATATCCCGGTTATAAATGAAAAGGTTGTTGGAAGTTTGAGCATTCATCTCTATCTTCTTGGTTTCTTGATCTGAGTGGTCATTGGGTCTAGTGACTCATCAGATTGTCAAGCATGATAGGAATGGGTCAATCACATGAAATATGCCTTTTTGTATTGACACCTTTAAGGGAATTAAACAAGACATCAAGTGATATCCTTTTCTGTTGCTTCCACATACACCATTCCACATCTTATTTAGCTTTTTAGGCCATTTTCTTATCTTTCCTTTAGAACTTACCTTTATTGCATCTTTACGTCCTACATGCCCGAACAATCTCAGACTGCTGAAATTATTGACAGAAGAATATCAAGGCATTAGTCAAATGTTCTGGATGCCACAGACTGAAGGAAAAAGAATTGAGTTATCGTCATTTACTTGTGCCTGCAACTTAAGTTGCTTTTTTGGAATTTGGGAATTAACAAAGGCTCACATGAACTTCTAAGAATTTTGTGTTGAGTTGTATGTGAAGTGATACCCAAAAATCTCCTACTTTTTCTTGGTGAGTGACTTATGCTGTTGTTTATGCAGTTTGATTATTGAGTGGTAAGCTGATCGAAGGAAGGAATTTGCTGTGTCTTGAGTGCTTGCTGGAAGGGAAGTTAGCTGTTAGCAGGTTCATCTAAACATGATGGCGCCAAATTTGAACTTGGAACCTGAAAATCATTCGGAAGATAGTAGCCAAGTAGCTTCCAATATATCCTTGCAAGAAACGTCCCATGATCTTACCAAGGACAGCAATACCACATCTTCCTGTCTCACAAATCTCACAAAACCTGAAACTGATCCAGTGTCTTTTTCCCTCGACTTGACCCTCAACTTCAACTCCAATGATGGTGAGTTGAAGCGCGCAAGTGATGCCAGCAGTGAAGTGGGAGCTGAAGCTCAACCTTCAGGATCAGCAGTTCCCAGGGTTTTCTCTTGTAATTACTGTAGGAGGAAGTTCTTCAGTTCTCAGGCATTGGGCGGCCATCAAAACGCTCATAAAAGGGAGAGGACAATGGCGAAGCGTGCCATGCGAATGGGGATGTTCACCGAGAGGTATACAAGCCTGGCATCACTGCCTCTTCATGGTTCTGCTTTTCGGTCTCTCGGTATAGAAGCTCATGCTGCGATGCACCAAAGACCCATGCCATCACTGAGGGCTCCCGACTTAAGAGCCGGAGCAAAATTTGAGAAAGATTATTTTGGACCACAAATGTTCATGGAAGATGATGATAGTATGGGTCTGTTTTGGCCTGGGAGTTTCCGGCAGGTGGAAGGTGGAGCCGGCGTTAGTATGGGACACGAGCACCCTCAAACTTCAACTACTAGTTTTGTAGCAATTGCACCACCGCCGCCGCCACCACCACCACCCCCACAACCACAAACATCCACATCTCCTGATCTCACTCTGAAGCTCTAAGATTTTTGCATCTTTTGTTTAATTCTCTTCAGACATGAAATTATTATTTATCAATAGGGCGTGCATTGTACAGTGAGTATGTATTTCCCCATGGATTTTCTAAGCTTACTTGAGGTCCTTATTAATCTGATTTTTATTCTGCTTCATCATTTATCTATTGCTGTGGCGTGTGAGGTAAATTTTATATCTGCAATGTGTTTGTGATGATGGCCCTGTTTGAGAGGAATCCTTCGACAACCATGCCCTTTCTAGAATGTGTCTTGGGATGGTTTGATATTACCTAGGGTCTTTAATATAAGGCATAGTTTGATTTTTATTTCAGTTCTAAATATAATATCCTAATTTATTTTGCTTTTTATATTTATATTTTTTTCTCTTCAAAATAGTTATTCTAATAATAATAATTTTAGTCATATATTTGATTAGTAATAATATTTAAAAAAGATAATATATATTTATTATAAATATTTAACTTAATTTATTTTTTAATCACTTTAAATTAGTTAACTAGCTTCTATAATTAGTATTTCACTAGTCAATCAGTGTTTGACAGAAAGGTGTAGAACCAATCAGAAGGTCCTCCCGTCATTGTAGGCTCAAATTGTAGTTGGTTCTGCTGGGTGTACAGGAACCGTGGGCGTTTCAAATTCTGGTGTTGTTGAAGATTAAGGGACAAGAAAGAAAGAGTTTGGAGGGAGTGAAGTTGAGTTGAAAGGAAAAGGATTAGAAATTTGGTAATAAAACTGTACTAGGCTGGTAAACATAATTTGCGTAAGATGAATGGCGTGAATTTGTGATACGGGTAATATTAGGGTGTGTTTGGATGAAACCAAACCGTGGTTTGGAAAAGTGATTCTGGAGAATAAATTCTGGGAAGAATAGATTTTGGAAAGAATAATGTTATAAAAGTGATTTTGAGAAGTGAGAGTGTTTGGATAGTTGTTATCAGAAGCACTTTTTATATATACAAATTACTAAAAAAAAGACATAAGTTAATATGATAATTACAGAAAAAATAGATTTTATGATATATTTTAATTTAAAGGAATAAAATTGTTAATAATATATTTTTTATTAACATAATTAATAATACATAAGATATATAATTAATAAATAATTAATATGTATATATATTTTTAAAATATAAGATTAAATATGTTTATAAAAAATATGTTTATAAAAAAAATAACAAGATACATATCCTATAAGCTCTCACACTCTCTCTTTTTTCTCTAAAAGTAAAAAATTTCTGCTTTTTCCAAAACCATGGTTTTGGTCCAAAACCACGGTTTTGGTCCAAAACCACGGTTTGCCCAAAACCAGTGGGTGTTTGGGTGACTTATCACCCAAACCATGGTTTGGGTCCCCAAACCATGGTTTGGGGTGTCACCCAAACGGGGCCTTAGTTTTGATAGTAATGATGGGAAGATATTGGAATGGGAGTCCTCGCAATCCCATAACTGGAGGGCCCCCCAATTCTATTCCTAAAAGCATGTGCCTACCGTCCTGTGAGATGGGACAACAAGGAAGTCTGCTCCTGTGCTGGTCCTCGTCATTTATTGATTAATTCACTCATTCTAAGATAATGGAGAGAAAATCGGGTATTAACTGCTGCTTTGGTATATTTAATTATAAAGAATGTAATGACAGGGAATAGAATGTGAAATTAAAATAACAATATTTACATGATTATATATAATAACAATAAATAAGCATTATATGTGTATATATTATAAGGGCAGTAATGTCATATAATCATACAAGGTCTTCATACGTTCCAATATTGGATCTCAATGCAGCTATTTAAATAATTAGCATTACATAATGCATTCCTCTTTTTATTGCAGAATTCCGACTAATTATCTTAATCAAGTCCTTTATATCAAAATTATGGGGGTATTTGAAAACACCAAGAATAACTTTTACAAGTGCTTTTAAATAAATAAAAATAAAACTATTCTCACATTTAATATACTATAAAATTATTTTTAAAATTTCATCCAAACATTCAATATGTATAAGTAACTTTTAACATATTTTACACAGATAAAGAAAAATCTTAAACTTTATTAGCTCTCCTTTAAAATTTAATAACTTTTCAACTTTATCCCTGTTTAATATACATTATACCTTATGTAAACAAAATCAATACAATAATAAATTATAAGTAAAATGGTATATTCATATAAAATTTCTCTCAATATTATATAAATAAGACTAAAAAATATCTTTTTCTTATCCTATAAATAAAATCAAAAGAGTATAAAATAAATTCCTTTTTTATTTGAGTATTAAATGATGCTGAGGAAAAATCTTCACCTCTCAAAAAGCTACTATATTAATTATATGAGCAAAGACTGACCTATAAGTAACTGAATTCTGACGGATAATGTTAGGTCAGGAAAATTGTTTAAAACTTAGCTTTATTAATTTGCTGACTGATGTGATTTATTATTATTTTTAAATTTAAATAGCAGCATTAATATTGATTATTAAACGAGAAATTGTTGTGATATTCGTAATTTGCAAATAATATGGCTGAGAATTTAATCAATTTATTGTGTATTTACTGTATCAGCATCTAGTACTATGACGAAAAAAATTTACTACGGTGTTAGTGCTGAAAATATATTGACTTATCTTAATTTCCAAGATTCTCCAATGTTGGGGACTTGGGAGTGCAATAATAGTGATACAATAAATGAGATCAAATTGCTGGCAAAAAAAAAAAAAGGGATCAAATTTTTCGAAAAGGCGAATTGGAATCAAATTAGAATGCACCGTCAAATCCTTAAATGAAGGAAGAAAACAGGTTAAAAGAATTTTTTTTAAAAAAATGGATAATTAATGCAATGTTGACTTTTGTTGTATGTGCTCCTTTAATCATTAATTGTATCGTCATTTGTGGGGCATCAAATAATTCTTGACAGATTTGTTGTCTTATTATTCTATGTTTGGGCCAGCATTTTGACCTGGACTCAGTTTTGGGATATTTTTGTTCACACATGAACTTTCTTAGAACCTTACATAAAATCATACGCGCATGACTTTTGTAATTTTCAATTTTGTACGCCATAATACGTTACTCCCACCACAACATCCTATTATTCTTTTTTGGGAAAATCAATGTCAGAAATTGTAATTGCAAAATATTGCAAGAAGTCGTCAATCTGCCGACCGTGGGCCTTTTGATCTTCGCAGTTCTCACCCCGCACGTCTAGAGCTCAAAAAAAGAAAGTTTGAACTCAAAATTATCAAAGCATCTTTTGTTCCAAGAGGCGTTAGAACTTTAATTATTGGAAACTTTAAAAAAAAGTTATTCACGTGGTTAAATGTTTTTTTAATTATTGTTATTGTAGGTGTTATGACGTGAGTAAATTCATAAAGATTATAAAAAATAGCTGTCAAAATACTAACTCATGTCTTAATTATAAGATTTCATTTGCAGATTATAAACAGAATTTTATAATTAGGACCAAAAATAATACTCCTCCGGTCCTTATTATAAGACCCAATTTGACTTTTTATTTGGTCCTAATTATAAGACCCTAATTCATTTTGTCTCTTATATTTATGCATTTTTTCCAAGATAATCCTTCTAATAATGATAGTTTTAGCCACTATACTTAATTAGCAAGGATATTTTAGGAATGACAACACTTATTTATTATAAATAACCAACTTAACTTACTTCCTTAATCTCCCCAAATAAGTCAATTGGGTCTTATAATTAGGACCGGAGGAGTATATAGTAAGTGATAGATGATAGAGGCCTTCAAAAAAGATTTTTTTAATGAAAATTTGTTAATATTTTTAGACAAAATAGCACTATCCCCTCACTTAATATAAAAAATAGATAATAAATTTATAAATACTAAAAAATTTTAGTTAAATTAATTATTTATAAAAAATATGCATCGATTTTTCTAAAATACTCTTTTTCTTACATTTTCTAAAATATTCTTATTAATCACATGTGTTAGAATCATATTTTTACAAAACTCTTAAATCTCCAAGTAAGTTATATAGAGAGAATTATAATGAAGTCCCAAGAAAAAAAATAATTACTAAAAAACCTCAATAAATTAATAGTCTGTAATGACAAGTGTCAGAATAAAAAATGACAACTTGGACTTATTTTATAATTACTATCATTAGTCTTTAATATAAAACTTTATTTGATTTTTATTTTGATCCTAAATATAAGATCCTAATCCACTTTATCTCTTATATTTATGCATCTTTTTAAGGTAGTCTTTTTAACAATGATAGTTCTAACTAATATACTTGATTAGTAGAGATATTTTAAAAAAAAATAATACTTATTTATTACAAATAACTAACTAAATTTATTTTTTTATTCTTTTTAAATTAGTTAATTAGATTTTATAATTAGGATAGGAAATAGTATTGTTTTTTGGGATCTCATGAGGTAATAACAAAAGAGATATCCATGATGCTTGAATATTTAAAGCATTAAATTAGAGGATGAAACGCATGGATTTTTCCAGCTAAGGTGCATCTGACCTTTTTAAAGACAGAAAAAAGACATAAAAAGAGGGGATAAAGGGAAAAATCAAGAATGGGATTCAAGCAGAGGAAGACGACGAAGGGGGATAGAAGGGAAAAGTTTGAATCGTTCTCTGAGCTGGTGGAGAAGAAAGTTACAGTCAAAGTGGTCCACTTAGGTAATTCTGTCCATTTCACAGGGCTAAGACTGTAAACACGGCCATTTCTGAAGAAAAAGCAACGCTTTCTTTTGTTTTTGGCGTGTAAAACCTTGAAAATCCTGCCGTTGCAGACCAGGGCTATGGCGTTTTGAGGAATCGATCCTCCAGAGCCCCCCGAAGAACAAAAAAAAAAAAAAAAAAAACCCACCCACTGCCCCCGATTCTCCGTTCATTTTCCGAGTTATCCTTTGGCTCTCTCTCTCTCTCTCGTTCTGTCTGTCTGTCTGGGGTGAGCCTCTCTCTCTCTCTATATCTCTGGTTGGTTGTCTCAGCCATGATTAGAGGGAAAGATCTTCCTAATGGTCTTGACTCTGATGGGGAGAACTCTCGGAGCAAGCTGTCAAAGCCCAATTTTGACCGTGGCAAGGAGAACCCTGAAGAGAAATTAGGTTATCCGGGAAAGGGTGCGTATTTTCTGAAGGATTCAGAGGCGGGTAGTGATGGAATTCTATTGAAACCCTCTAAAGTCGGGACTTCGGCCTTGCAAGAGCTGACCCTCAGCTACCTTTGTGATAAGGAGATTCCTGGTAAAAGCTTGCTGAGTTCCTTAGAAAAAGTCAGTTGCAAAGGCAAAGAAGTTATCATCTCGGAGGATTCAAATCGGGATGAGAAATGGGTCGAACGGGATTTTCTGAATTTGAGCGAAACCAGGGAGAATTCTTCAAAGCGATCGGTTGAAGAAGAGGTTGTGAGGGAAAATAAGGACAAGAAGCAGAAGCTGGAGACGCTTAATCTCTCTCTTGCCTTGCCTGATGTCTCCCTTTCTCTTACGGCGTCAAACGCCCTGCAAAACGGTGATCAGCCGGTGAGGCCAAGGCCTAGCAAACCGTCAGCGACTACGTATTCAAATGATCATACAGCGGCTTCTCTATCTTACTCGTATTCCCATCCCTTCTCGCACAACCCAAGTTGCTCGCTTACCCGTAATTCTACAGATTTTGATTATTCCGTTAGCAAAGATGATCATATTTGGAACTGCGGAGAGGGGACGAATGGGTCAGTGCATAGTCGGTTCAAGCCCATAGGAGATGGGGTTGCCTTGTCTAATCATGGTGGTGGTGGGTATAATTCGACCATGCAGGGTAATAATAGTCAGTATAAAACTACAAGTTCAGATAACCATTCTTTTTTTCCGTCGGAATTACCTGCCAGGCCAAGATTTGAAGCTCAGTCAGGGGACTCGAGAGGAAGGAATTCTGAGAATCTGAGAGTATTGGAAGGTTTAGATGGTGGGAAAGTAAGGAAGCTTTCTAGACCAGAGAAAATTCTCAGAGAGATCGTGTCGGAGTCTGTCCCAACCATGGCTGCTCAGTTTCAAGAGCTTACTGATGAAGTGATTGCATCGACGAAGGAATACTTAAAGAATCTCATTGAGATGCCCGAGAAGAAAGAGGAAATGGTCAACCTTCAAAATCGGCTTGAGCGAAGATCTGACTTTACTAAGGAGACTCTTTCGAAGTGCCACAAAGGGCAACTTGAGATTTTAGTTGCTGTCAAGATGGGGCTTGCAAGCTTCTTATCTGGCAAAGTCCCCTTCTGTGAGATGGTAGAGATTTTCTTGCATATGAGATGTAGAAATGTGAACTGTAAGCGCGTGCTGCCGGTTGATGACTGTGACTGCGAGATTTGTTCTGGAAATAAAGGATTTTGCAGTTCTTGCATGTGTCCTGTCTGTCTGAACTTTGATTGTGCAAACAACACATGCAGTTGGGTTGGTTGTGATGTTTGTTTCCACTGGTGCCATGCTGCCTGCGGCATTAAGAGGAATCTTATCAAACCTGGGCCTAGCTTAAAAGGGCCATCAGGGACCACTGAGATGCAGTTTCATTGCAGTGGATGTGGACATCCTTCAGAAATGTTTGGCTTTGTTAGAGATGTGTTCGTATTTTGTGCAAAGGATTGGGGTCTAGAAACCCTGGTGAAAGAACTTGACTGTGTAAGGAGGATCTTCAAAGGAAGTGAAGATCGCAAAGGGAAGGAATTGCATGTCAAAACTGATGACATGCTCTTTAAGCTTCAAACTAAAACGGTGTCTCCTTTGGATGCCTGCAATTACATCCTACAATTTTTCAATTGTAAGTCTCTGGACTACTGTCTTCCCCGTTTCATATTTAATTTATGTAGTTTATTTAAGTTTTGAATTATCCACGCTATGCAGCATTTTAATGGGGATCATGCACTTTGAACACGTCGTAGTCTGTTTATCCTTGCAAATAATTTAAGACAGACACATTTTAATTGTTGAATTAATTGCACGAAAACACGTGGTATCACTAAATGATTAAGGGCTTGGCACATCTTCTATTTTTTGACGTGACTTACAAGTATTGACCCATTTCCTCGTCATTTGGAGGAGGGAAAGCAATAATGTTGGTAAATAGATTGCTATTCTGAATACATATTTCAAGTAGAAAATTTGGTCTGCTGCGGTAATGGAATTCTCAGGTTGGTTTGGTTTGATGAATAGACTGGCAGGAATTTGATGGAAGATTTTACAAAAGTTTTCGTGATCCGGAGGGATCTCTACTTGAGTTTGGTAATATAGATTTTCGATGCTCATTAGTATGGGACATGGGGCCATCGGTTATGACTGGGCCTGGAGTGAGCAGGATGTGACATTCATATGGAGCAATTAGATGAGCCTATACAACTGTCTGTTATGCACACGCCTTTAGTACAATAAATTAAGAGGAAAATGGAAGGGAAAATGAGTTGGTGTCATGGTTATAAAAGGGGAAATTCCCAGGAATAATGGCTATAAATGCAGTTGAAGTGCCTCATTCTAATTTTTATTAAGCCATGCTTAGAAGTTAAGGAAGCAGAAGGGATGACGTGCGAAGGGGAGGGATGGAGTAGAAAGGAACTGTCTTTCCTTCCTTGGTATTCACAATGATAGAAGGAAAGTGAAGGGAAAAAGTTACTGGTTTAGATACTCCAATCTAACATTTATTAACTTGTTTTGAATTGATTTGATTGTAATTGTGAATTTGGTATGTTACTAGTTTTCTTCTAATCCCATCCCCTTTCACCCTCACCATTAGCTCCTATTGAAACTCATTATTCTTGCGAAGTTTACGTAATGAAAGCGCCTGCTTGATTTTGGCTGGATGCTGATAATATATGACATCTAACTGTTTGAAGAAATTTCTGATTTTTGCCTGTTTGATTTTAGCTGGATACTGATAATATATGACATCTAACTGTTTGAAGAATTTCTGATTTTCAGATGCAGATGGCATGTCAGACTTTCCTGCTTCCGGTATATCTTCAAAGGATTTGTCAGCATCTCAAGCTAATCTTAGAAAGGAAGCAACATCTCTTTCACAATCTAATTCTCTAATGTCAAAATATACTTATAACTCGAGCTATTCAAGGTCACAATGTGATGCTCTGTCAAATGATCTTCATCAGAAAGATATCAAAGCTTCCATCTTAAATGAATTGAAAAGTGAGAGTGAGTTCCAGCTGGGGGCCCTGTTAAGAAAAGGTGGGCTTGATAGCTTGGAGAGCATTGTGAGGATTAAGGAAGCGGAGGCCAGAATGTTCCAAACCAAGGCAGATGAAGCCCGGAGAGAAGCTGAAGGGTTCCAGAGGATGGTGAGGACGAAAATTGCGCAGATGGAAGAAGAGTATGCTGAAAGGCTTGCCAAGCTCTCTCTCCAAGAGACTGAGGAAACGCGGAGGAAGAAATTGGAGGAATTGAAGGTCTTAGAAAATTCCCATTGTGATTACTTTAAAATGAAAATGAGAATGCAAGCTGAGATTGCCGGTTTGCTGGAGAGAATGGAGGCAACGAAGCAGCAATGGGTTTAACTTAGTACAAGAATAATTTATTTTTAAGAATATGCTAAAATGGGTGTAATTTATTGATATGGTGCCATATGAATGTTCTGTTTCTCGCTAGAATAAGTTATTTTTGGTCGATAAATTTGAATATTGGTAGTGCTTAATCCATCAGTTTACTTCACATGTTGAGAGCCCAATTGCTAAACCAGTGATTTTTGCTCTTTTTACCCCCTAATGCACGGGAGCCTAAGTGTTAGGCTGGGGTAAGTTTCTTGTCATCTGATATTTTACACTTGCTTATGGCTTTGACCTTATTTCTCTGCCCCACACTTGATATAATATCATCTCCTGTGAACTGTTACGCGCACGTTATTGCCCTCTGCAAGTAGAACATATCTTCTAATCGTCCTCTAAAAGCTTGCAATTCTTAATAATTCCGTCTCTGCTTGACTGCTTCTTAAGACCTACAGTAAAATCCATGTTATGTTTTGAGGAAAATAGGAAAAAGAAGTAGGAAAGAAAAATTTTCATGAGCTCGATTTAAAATATAGAAAAAATAGGATTGTAAAATTTTAATAAAGAAAGAATATAAAACAAAAAAGTAATAAAATTAATTAAAAGTTTTCAGCTTCACTTTATTAATTTTTTAAATTGAGTTTATCAAAATTTTTCGTCTCCTCCTCCCTTTTATTTTTCTTATACCACATGAAACCTTAGTTCTTTGATCTTGGGAATAAGTTTCGATACTCATCACTTTAATGAACACCTTAAACTTATCAGATCTGGATCATTTATATTTTATTTTGATGATCAAGATTTAATTTCTTTTTTATTTTTATTTATTTATTTAAAATAATTATTTTAATATGTATAAAATCTAAAATAGATATAATCTCTTAACTATCATTCTTTCAAAAAAAATAGTTTTTTCTATTTAAACATAATTAATTAAAGATTTTAAATTTGAATCGTTCAAATCAAACATAAATAGTCCAAATTTGATGGGATCAGAATACTCATCAAGATAATAAGCACTAAAACTGATTCTTTGACCTTGTGGGTGGAGCATAGAGGGGCAAAGATAGTGGTCGCTTAAATTGTGGGATTTATTTAATTTAGTGCCCTCTGCAACTGTGGGAGCATTTTCTTTCTACTTTTTTTTGGCGATAATTTTCTTTCTACTTCTTGAATTTGATGATTGGGCATGGCAAACTTGGACATGGCGATTCTTTTTCTTTTTTTTACCTTCCCAATTTTAATGTCATAATGACACTTAATGAATCAGCTTAACTTGAGTTCCTTTTTTTCCCCATACAAACTTGAGTTCCTTATAATTTTCTCCTTTTGTGTTATAACTTGACCTTGTGTTATTATGTTTCAGTGAAAAAATTAAATTTTATTAATTACAATTTAAATTTTAATAATTTTTTTAATTTTACTTATATTTAATATTTACATAATAATAAATGAATGGCAAAAGTATATATTAATGTAAAAGATTTAATGATATAAGTTATTAAAAAAAAAAAAGTATCTTCTTCCTCCAGCTTCCGCATCACGGCGAGCGCGTTTTTTGGTTGAGTTTGATATGTGATGACTTTTTAAACGTTCTTCGTTTATTAATGATGAATGTTATTACCAAAATCCAATTTGCACCTGGTTTAAAGAAATTGCAATTTCTATGCTTCTCTTGCATTTTTTATGTGTTATCTTAAAATAGAAAAATATGATGGATATCTCCATTATCCATTGTCCTTACTTCTTGCTAAGAGGTGTTTGGTTATTTCCAAAAATGCTTTCTAAAAGTATTTTTTTACAAATTGAGATAAACTTCTCTACATATTTATTTAGTATACTATAAAATCACTTTTCAAAAAATGGTTTGGTTTCCATTTAAACACTTCCTAAATTCTTTTCATCGATTATTCTTATATTGAAAATATTTTCAATTTAAAATATAATTTTATTTCTTTTATCTCCATGAATCATAAAGACAAAAATAAATCATTTTTTTATTTGGTGAAAATCTCATGTTGATTTGTTTTTTCATTAAAAAAAAAGTGTTTTGCAATTCAACGATCATACTTTATATTGTTTCAACAGTAAAACATTTGATACCCACAATTCAGAAAGCCTCAATTCAACCAGTAACACTGCCCTTTAAGAAGGCCAAAATAAAGTCTGGTGCTTTTTCTTTGAAATCCCCTACAAAGAAAACTACACGACAAACAAGAGGCTGGAGTTTTGTTTGTGTGTATATATATAGAAAAGAGTGAAACAAACATGAATCTGTGAGAGCATGCATGAGCGGGTGATAAATAATTAATTGTGAATTAAAACAGTATAATAATGTTTAATACTACTACTACCATAAAGGGAAGAAACCGCTGATTATTTCATGGCGTCGATCAGTAGTCTGCGGGGAGAGTAACAGAGAGGCCAACAGTGACAGCAAAGAGGAATAGCAAAAGAGCAGAGAAATTGAGGACGAGACCCTCTTGGCTGCGACCAAGTTTCAGATACTGGAAGCGTTGGACAAGGCCCGTCTCTGCTGTGCACACTGCCAGCAGAAATATGACCATCCCCATGAGCCTGTGCCATGGCTTCATTGAAGCTCTCCTTGACATTTCTGCTCCTGGGAAGAAAATGTGAAGAACGCCAACAAGTACTGTCGTCACAAAAACAACAGCAACATTAATTAATGGGTTCGTTTTAATTCATTCTTCATTAGATTTATTATGATGATAGATACCTGCAAACCAAAAGAGCAGATGGCAATCATGCCGAACCAAGAGTGTAAGGTGTAGATGTGATAATGAAGATGAACCTCTTCCTTATAAACTGTAATAACTCCAAGAATTCCAGATGCTAGAGCTATCAGATGCAGCAGCATGTGTGCCACCTTCAACGATCTTCTTTTTGCTTCTAAAGCCTTGTGCACTATTATTGCTGTTTCAACCCATATATAATTGCATGTGTTGTTAGTTACACACACACACACACACACATATATTGAGGCTAATAGTGAAGAGGGACTACTTGATGATGCGGGTTATTACGCACGTACCTTCTCCTCCGACTAAAACAAAGCCGATCATCATCAAGAGAGTATGAAACTGCAGAGAGAGAGAGAGAGAGAGAGATTGTAAGAAACAAGCATACATGTAAAACAGAGAAGAAGTGATCACAGTAGGATTGTAACAGATGAAGTAGAAGACATTGATGAGCTTGGGTTTGCTGGGGGAATTGAAAGCGAAGCCTCCACGGAATCTGAGAAGCCAAATGAACACAAGAGTGGTGACAGCGATGAACAACAAGTGGGCAAAAATGGTGACTGGAAATGCGTGTAGTTGGTAGCTGCGAGGCATTTTTGGAGTATTGAACGAAGAGAAGAATAATTTCTGATAAATTGGAAGAAGCTAAGGATCGGAGTTGGTGTTTCTGGTAAAGGAGAAGCAGTATAAATGAAACAATGGTTAAAAACGGAAAAGAACCAAACACCGGCGACACGGCGAAGGTCGGAAGAACCGACGTCGTACGTCTGGCCGGCTGCTATTTGGTGACAACTTCTATGAAGTGAAGCATTTTATAGTGAGTATTAGGATTTTATTTATTTACTTTGATGAATCATCTGTTAAAAATGATTGGTGCAGTTATTCCCTTAGTCAACTATGATATATTTTATTATGGAATTTATAATTCGGCAGTCCAATAAAATTAATTGAGATCATTAATTTTTTTTTTAAAGAAAAGGTCCATTTTATTAATTTTTTTTAAAAAATCATTGCACTCGCTTCACAGAAACGAAAAACAAAGAAAGCGGGTTAGCCCAGATACAACCTTGGTAGTATTATTTCTTCTGAGAGTACTATGGGCTGGCCAAGAAAGTAATAAAACGTTGAAGCATCCGAGAGGGAAAAGTTTGTCCAATTATTTATACATTAATTGTAGTTATGCTCGTGTCAAAGGAAAATGACAAACACAAGATTCCTTTCATGATCTTTGATGCTTTGGATGGCCAGACGTGCCTCGTAAGAATTGGCCTTTGGCCTTTTCCATTACATGTAGAATTATTTTAGAGTTGTTAAGGAATGATATTTTTTGACAAAAAAAATGTTGACAAAAAATAATTGATATGCCTAAAATTACATATAGAGAGAAGAAAAATATGCTTATATTAAGTTTCTTATATTTATTATGTTAAGTTGTCTAATTAGTACATTTAAAACGGAATAAGAACCTAACAATTCTAAGATAAGATATACTATATATCCTTGAATTAATATGCGTTGCATTTTGTATAATCACATTATACAACGTTACTTGTTTACTCACTCAACAAGATTTTTCTTCAAGTTTATGGCTTTATAATAAAATAAATACCCTTCATAATTCAGATTGATTTAATTTATTTACTGAATGCAAATATTTATGGAAAAAAATCAAATATATATCGTTTAAAAATCAAATGAGCCGCTTTAATAAGAAGCACATAGCAATGCCGTCATAAGTTCAGAAGAATGTGAAAAAAAAATATTTATGCACACCGTGTTATTATTATTTGCAGGAAATGAATAGTGGAGTTATTACAAAATCAATTGAAAAACTTGAAAACAAAAGAAAGCATATGAATATTGGAAATGAGAGCATAGACGATGGAGAAGAATGATTCAGACATAATGGGCAAGACCAACGGAAAGATCAACGAAAACACCGAACAAGAGAATAGCGAGGCCGGTGAAGTTCATGAGACGTCCTTCTCCATATCGCAGAATGCTGTTCAGCCTCAGGAACGTGTACTTCTCCATTAAACCTGTGAGAGCCGCGCATATTCCCATGTACAGCAAAGCTCTCCCTCCAGCTATGTGCCACGGAGCGATTTTAAACCTTGTTACGTCCGGAGCTCTTCCCATGAACGTGAAGAATCCAATCACCCACTGCAATATATATATATATATGGAATTCATCCCTTCTTCTTCTATAATATCATCTTTACAGGGTCGATCGTATAATGATGAACACACACACACACGTACCTGTATGCCGTACAAGACGAAAGTGCCGATGCCAATCCAGGAATGGAGGCTGAACACGTCCTCCAAACGGGCCATGTCGTGGAACTTGAACACTGCGCATAAACCAACAATTCCCAGAACGAAAGCAATCAAGTGAAGTAACATGTGCATGAACTTCTGGGTCGACCTCTCGCTTGGTATCGTATGGTATGCCATTATTGCTGCTCATAATCACACACAAAATTAGCGTTACTTTGCATGCACGATATCAGTACTGCAAACACACCATGCTGATCTCAAGATTATTGGTATATACCTTGACCCGACATGAAAATATAACCCATGAACATCAGAAGAGGGTGAACCTGCGTACGTAAGATTTTGATGTTAAAAAGAAGACGAACTTGTTTATATAAGGGAATGGGTGTGTGTGTGTGTGTGTGTTGTGTTATACGTACGTTGAAGACTCGGTATCCATCGGGAGAATCATATTCAATCCCCTCACGATAATGCAGCAACCAGATAAGCAGGAGGATGATGGCGAGGATCCCAAACAATTGAGCAAAAATGGTAATGCGAGAGGCACGGCGCCTGTAAACCACCGTATCCATATCCATTGTGGCAAACGCAGATTTTGGATAGCTCTGGGACTCTGAAAAGTTTGTGTCGTCTTGTGATTCTGATATGGTGGTGTGTCGTTAAGGTTCTTATATATAGATTAGATACTCACTGTTTTTCGGCTTTACGAAAGGGAGGGAGAATTGCTTGATCGGTTGGTTTTGGAATTTAGATCACAGAAAACTTTGAGCTTTAGCAAGCATCTTTAACAATTTGTGCCTCAAGTGCACAAAACAACAAAAGAGGATATATTCTTGATTATAATTTGGAAGCCAGCATGTATTATGTAGCAAGTGTCCCCCATAACGTAGAATCCAGTTAAACCCAACTCTATTAGTTTTCAAGTGGGCCCAAATGATCTGGCGTTGTTCTTAACCATGAGGATTGGCATATTTGGATTCAGAGCACATGGATCACATAATCATTCAAGAGTTCTTCTCATTGGCTCATACATCTGAAAATCACGAATGTATCAGATATATAATTCAGCTGATAAAACATAAGGATCATGAAATAGTAGTGAATGTGGTTATTTTCTCGTTGGTTAATTTAATCACTGAATCAAGAAAACAGTTGAAAATTTATAAATACATATGTGTATGTGTGTGTCTGGTAGGTGTACTTACTAATATTTTGAACATCAGAATCATTAAGGTACGTAATGTGAAATGCAGAAGAAATTTGAAATGAGATGAAATGAGAGAGTGCGTGTGTGAGATCAAAACGGAAAGTTGAAAAGGAATGAAGGCATTCATCTTTAACAAGAAAAGTATCTTTCACAGATAAAATATATATATATATATTTTTTGCTAAAGCATGAGTATTCTCTTGTTGGAGGCAATCCTATTCGAGGCACTGTCGGGTATTAAATGTGAGCACCTCTCCCAGCGAGGATTCGAACCTTGGTTCGTTACGTTGTGAGGGATTAGCCCCTTTCAGTAGACCTAACCCTCATTGGCACAGATAAAATATACTGCTGTCCCACACATTCATAAATGATTTGGTTTCTGAGAAACTGAAAATGGATGAAGAGGTTACTTTTCTTTTGGACAAAGCTCTGTCTCCGATGTGCTTTGTGGTGGTAAAGTATGGGCTTACCTTATCCATTTGCCTCCGATGTCCGATCATCATGTGTGTCCATCTATCTCGCTAGCAAGCCCTATTGGGCTCACGACCCATTTTAGCCAAAAAAGGCCCAATAATACACACTGGTTAGTATATTGGGCCCCCCAAAAAGAGGGTCTAAATCCAGGTCACTATTCCGATATTACCCCACTTATCATTTCAGCTCATCCAGAGTAATTTCCTGATGCTAGAATTTTAACTGCTTTGCAAGGATTTATAAACCATCAGAAGTAGTCTATTATAATCAAGTCGCAAAGAAACATAGCCAAGTTTTCATATTAATCTCCTAAATTTTAAAAAAATCTCAAACTTTAATTTGGTTTCAAATTCTCATCCTTGCTGTCATCCGAGTCGAGAGGAAGATAGAAAAAGCTTGGGCAGTGTATGTTGATGAGGCTGCAATAACAAGGACCACACTCTAAAGTTGAAGGTTCTTCCCCCCACAATTTTAATCATGCCTCATAATGACCCCTGTGAATTTCTTATATATTAGGGCAAAATGCAAATCAGTCTGCGATCTCAACTTAAACCCTTTTGTACTTTCTCTTCCCTCAATTCTAAGCTTCATCCACTCCATCACTTGACTTTTTTGTCCAAAATAATCCTAGTTATATTTAATCAAGAAATTAGTCACTCCATTTCAAAAACAAGGCAGGAGGAATTGCGGATTTAAAATTATTGTTGAGCTAGCTGTGAGAGTGCAGCTTGTAGCTGGCTGGCTATGATTGAAGTAAGAATTAGGTTAAGTTTTTCACTGCAATTCTAAAATACTTTAACTCTCGCGAGCATACTAAAATCTATGGTCATCATTGATGTATTTCTTTTTCATTAAGAATTTCATATTCATAGGATTGGCAAACAGATATCATGGAGGCACATATACTCTTCTTAGTGGTTGTCAGATAAGCATAGCCACTCTGATAGAGACATTTGCCTCAATTCATTTGCCTACTTTTGCTTTTTATCCTCCTTTGTTAATTCCTTACATAGTTTTCTGCCATGTTCAATTATATAACGTTGAGATTCTACTTTTTGCCATGGTTAGATGTCTATTTCCTAGGTCAATTTGTTCGGTTAAACCTAGGATTGGCTTTTTACATAAGCTTCTGGTTTACGTAATTGTATTGTTTCCATAATGCATATGGGGGGGGGGGGGAAGCATCTTGAAACAATAATTCAGATGTGTAGATATATAAAATTGGGAGAGAACAATTCCCTAAATTTTGTGGAATGTGTGCACATGTGAACAACTATTAAAAGACCACAAGAAGATTGGAGTTGTTGCAATTGTAGGAAAATTTCTTCGAAATCACGACATCCTTTAATTTGCATAGTTAAACTGAGAATTAAAATTAATAAAAATGATGCGATTAATATAATCGCAATTACTAATTACTCCTATGATATTCTATTTTTCATTTAAAATAAACACTAAACTTACGCACGTATACATGCGAGTTCCTTTAGAAGAATTGTTTCACATATCATATTTTTTATGAAGAATCTGATTTAAATAGATAGAGCACTACGTTTTCCCCCCTCACTTTATAAATCTAAGGTCCCATTTGGTACGAAGCAATGAAAATGAGAGATTGAGATTAAGATTACAA